TTGAGTTTTAAAAACTGAGGTAGTGACACAATAGTTAATTTTCATAAAATTAATCCTGAATTCAGGTTATTCTGAATCTCAAAAAGAGCAATTCAGATGTTTGATTAAAAAGAAATAGTAATGGATATCTATTCATGTGTGAAAATTTAGAATTCTAAATCATCAAATTGTATTTTTGTTTTCAACTTATGCAGTGGGTTGCAAAAGTAGTCACATCCTTTCCAAATCACAATGTTTGAAAATAGAACCAAACACAAGTGATTTGCACATTTTTAAAATAGGAACTTTGTATGCTTTTAACTGGATATTACAAAATAATGTTGCTAAACACTCTTTACTCTAAATAATTTGCCAAAATTATTAAAGCTGTATTGTACAAATATTCACACCCTCTAATTCTGGCTGACATCACTGTTACATTACAAACTGTTACTTTACATTGACAAAGATGTTTATCTATTCAGGTGTGACTTGTTTGGAGTGAAATTTACAGTGTATTCTTCCTACAACTAGTTGGCAATATTCTGCTGTCTACAATCACACAGTGCTTGTCAGTTAAACAACATATATAGCAGTCATGAAAACTTATCCTAAAACCTGAGAAAGTTATATAGAAGCACAAAAAAATGGAGACAGCTATAAATCTATAGCCAGTTCATTAAAGATGTCAAAAATGTACTGTGTTGTTTGTGGTCAAGTAGAAAATTTATGGTACCACTACAAATCTCAGAAAAACATGGTGCTCGTCTTAAGATGACAGCATAAACCAAGTTTAAACTGGCCAGACAAGACAAAGCTAATACTTCTGTTACACTGGAAGATCTTAAAAAATCTGTCAAACATGGCAGTGTTACAGTGAACAAGTTCCAAATATTCTGCACTTTGCATAAAGTATTTATGGGCATGTGGCAAGAATGAAGTAATATTTTTATGAAAAATCACCTGTTTTAGATTGCCCAACTCCCTGTTCAGATTCTTAAATAAAAACAAAAAACGAATGCCATAACTTTTGGAAGGATCTGAAAATTGTTGTCCATCAAAGGTCATTAACAAACCTGACACAGCTGGAGCAGTACTGTAAAAAAGAGTGGGCCAGGGAACATTGCACAAAATTTAACACAAGCTATTCAAAGCAATTGGAAGCTGTTTTTGTTGCAAAAAGAGTTTACTGTATTAACTAAGTGTGAATATTTTTGCAACACAGCAAAATCAATATTTTGTCATTTTTACAAAATTGAAGAATAAAATGTGAAATTTTTCAATTGGCTTTCCAACTTAGTGCACAAATTTGTAGGCATTTCGTTATATTAATTAAAATAGTAAATATAACAATAAAAGTATATTTTTCCTGTGGGATTAATACATTTATAACTAATTACTCTCATAATTATAACCTTGAATTAAGCACTTAATACAAAATTTAACAAAAAGTGATAAAATTTAAAAAAAATAACAACTTTAATAATTTTTTTAAGGTAAATGAATTGTAGAATTTCCTTTTCTTCTTGGCTTATCTGTATATACAAAATAGAAGAGAAAATACAACTATTAGTCAAACTGAGAAATAACTAAAGTAAAATAGTTTTTCTCCACATGGATAAAGTTAAGAAATATTTCTATGCATTTGAGTGCTTATTATGTCGATCATTACATTGGTTTTAATAAATAACAATAAAAGATGATATAAAGACTAGTCTAAATGTACTTTAAGAACAGTAGAAGATATGTCTGTGTTATTATATGGAACAAAAACATATCCCAGAAATAGAATGACTGAAGTTAATAGTTGTTGAACCTGTGCTCTGAAAACACAATTCTCAAATTAAAAAAAAAGTGGAACTGCGTGGCTCTTTGTCAAAAGAAAGAAAAAGCATAACATTTAAAATAATTACAGATTTACCTTTATAAAAGTATCTGCCAACAGGATTTTAATGTTATTTTATGAATCATAACTGCATTTTAATATGATTTGATTGTGATTTTTTTAATTAGAAAATCGATGAGAAGTGATATATTTACCAAGCTATTTCAAATAAATAAGTTCTAAATATTTATAAAAAATTTTGGCATTCGAATTTTAATATAGAAATTAACAATTTATTTCTAGTATATTTAAGAGTAGAATGCAATAATCTATGTGAAAATTGTTTATCAAAAAGTATTGAAAAGAGTATTATTTTTTTGTTTCAAGCTAAACTTATCAATCTATTTTCATTAGAGATCAAGGAAGCAATGATAACAGGTACCTTATTTAAATAGTAATTGTTGTGAACTGATGAAAGTTATTGGATTAAATACTTTTGTCACATTATGGGAAATTAGGCATTATAAATATACACTCATTTGAACTAAAAGAAAATTCAGGCATTAAAAAAAGCCAGAATGTAACTTATTGTAAAGAAAAATTAAGTTCAAAATGTTTTAGTGATCATTTTGTTTATGAATACTAGTACAAGTGATGAAATTTTACTCAAGTACGAGTTGCTATTTACATCTGTTAACTCACATAATTTGAATCAGCATTATATATGAGCAATAGTGCTTCCCTATACAACAGCTCAAAGTTCATCAAAAGTTGAATATTTGCTAGTCAAGACATTGTGTATGTGAATTTCATTTAAGGATGATGAGTGTAGACTGTAGAGTACACATAACTTTTCAGACAAATATGAAATAATTTAACCCAAAATGTTGGAAGAAAAAGAAAAATGCGCCGTCTGAAGAGAGCTGATATTTATATAAAAAGAAATTTTTCATGACATGAGAGTAGCCATCAAAAATTCAATTTTGATTATAAAACTGCGACCAACAAGTTTCTCCAGGTTTACTTCCTGGAAGGGTCCTTCAAGATTTTCCCATTTTTTGTCTGAGACTACTGAACTCTCACGACTGTGAGGTAACGACTGAATATACACATGCTGGCCTGTGGCTGCACCACTGCGTATACACACTACCTTATCTCCTTTAGGTGAGCCCAGTGTGATTGAAGATGCAGTTCCAAGAGGCTCCATTTGTCCAACTCCAACACAATTACTGCTTGACAAAATCTGCCAACCCATTAGCTTACTCAAAAACACGACAATGGCAAGATGGTGGAATGCAATTTGCCACATGAGCAGGTCCTCAAGTTCTTTTGGTTCAAATGACAGAATACTGACTCTCCCATCACGACTTATTGCCTTTATGGTGTCTGTGCCTATCTCCAAGACAAGTGAAGTTCTGTTAATTTCATAACCCAAAGAAGTGATGTTTATTTTTACACTAGATTCAAGACTACTGTTCAAGCAGCTCCAATGAGTAGATATCTGGGGATCAGGTACATTAATAGCCATCCTATCCACAGTTTCCATAACACGTTTTCGAAGAACAGCATGTTTAGTTTGTTGAATGATTTGTTCTAAAAGAGTTTCATTCTCTGTCATGTCTATGAGATCTTGTCGGTTGTAACCATGGGGACCAGCCAGTCGCCTGCGTTTGCTCAATCCAAGGGTTGAAGTGACTGGTTGTGGAGGTGGGTGATAGATGGTCTTAAAATGGGCCTCGCGTAGGAGTTGGTGTAAAGAATGTTCGAGAACGTGATTGTGATCGACTTTTTGAGAACTCACTTTTTTGTCTTTGTCAGTGTAATGACAAAGTACGATTGACAGCTGGACACCCGGAAATATATTTGCGATGATCTGATTGCCGACTACCATATGAGGAACTTGAGATTTCAATTGCACAGCTTCTCGAGCAAGCTGCGAGAACAGTTCTTTGCAAAACAGAACATTTTGTGCTACTTCTAGCTTCTGGTGCCAGTAGGCATCTGAAGGGACGGGGCACAAACCACTAGGCATTTTCAGTGCAACGCTAGTAAGATCGGATAGTTCTGGAAATGTTTTCACTTCAATTTGAACATATGCTACTCCTTCTAGCTCACTTGGAATAATAACTTCTAGGCAACTTTTTACTTTACCTGTAGTTGCATCCACATTGTCCGTATCTTTCATACTTTTCACTACTTCAAAAGTCCCGCCTTGCCAATATCTGGAACCAACAGATTTATAACTAAAATCTCCAAGGATTGTGTTTCCTACTTTCTTTAATCGCCAGTTGTGCCGGAGTTTCAAGAGTTCTATATGGAAATCAGGTTGGGCCCTTGCACTGGCTTCTTGTTGAGATTTCTTCAGTCGCTCGGTTCCATTTATAAGGACAGCAGCTGCAGAGACAAGGCTCCTCTTTTTCGCCAATAACTGCACCGCAGCTCTGGACTCTGTCGATTCACCGGACACGGGATCAAGAACCATATAGTGTTTCTCTTTCGCAATATTAACAACATCATAAAGAACGCTTATTTCAGTAAGAGCAGCTTTTAGTTTGTTTCTTACCGAATCCCAGGGCCATAGAGATGGTTGAAATGGCGCTAACACTTTTTCTTCGGCATCCTTCTCTCCCTCAGAGGTTGGTTTGCCCTTTTCTTCGCTTTCATCTTTGTAGAAGTCTATCTTGTGTGCAAGTTTTGTGAGATTTTCGGACATAGAAAGCGGAGGCAGACATAATTCTTGTCCATCGAGAGTAACTTCTTGAATTTGCTGTTCGATAACAGACTCAACACTGACGCACACCTCGCCGGTCGCCATTTTTACATTGACTATTATAAAACCTGAAACGGTACAACGACTATGTATTTCCAAACAAAGTAAAAGACAAGAAAAAATGATAGTATGAGTTTTTGTAAAAATATACTAATTCATGGAGTTCTCAATTTTGTTAATATTGGTTTATGAAAAAATAATGGGATAAATCATTGAATGTTCTTTATGAGATTAATGCGTTAGTTTTAAACTTCGTTTCGCCAGCTTTGTTTGTAATGTCGGTATATGAAGATTTGGCGGAAGTTTCTTAGCGGAAGTTTTTTTTTTTTTTTCTTAAACAGAGTACACTATCAGCGGCTGGGAAGAAGACTGGTCTTCCTAGACCGTTGTCTTTATTCCGATAAATTATTGTTTTAAGTAGTAACAATGAAGTGTCATTATGAATTACTTGGTGTTTCCCGTGACGTCGGGGACGAGGAATTAAAAAAGTCTTATCGGAAGTTAGCTCTTAAATGGCATCCAGGTAAAATTTATGATTTTCTTCACTTTAACAACGTGTGTAAAAGATAGCTTTGAAAGAAATGAGACGAAATAATGTTGTTATTGTATTTTCGTTATTAAAAATATTCTGTGTTGTCTGATTTGATTTTTAAAAATCACGTTTTAGAAAGTATGAACATTTTAATTGCGAAACTATAATAATTGTTGTTAAATAATCGTATTAATTACAAACAACGCATGGAGTCCTGAATCAACACATGGCGTGGCTTTGTGATCTTTAAAATTTCCATAAGCATTTTAAATTGATTTATTTTAAATTTTATACCTAGCATTTTTTTTTCAATCATGAACACTAACAGTTTTGAATTTGAAAAAATATTTTATATGCGATCGAAAATTTTCAGTTTTTTTTTTTTCATTGAAACGTTAAGAAGATTAAGAAAGACTTCAATTAACGTTTCAATGAAAAAACAAAAACAAAACTGAAGACTAGTTTTAGTATCATTGTAGTAAGTAGAGTGTAAACACAATTTTTTAGCTGAATCATTTCCTGTTCAAAACGAGGATCACAGGCCGACGGAAATTTGAATTTTTTACATGATTTTCAAAATGAGAATAATCCTTTTTAGTTTAGTTAGCGAACGCTAAACTTTCCATTCATTTTTTAAAATCACCTTGTTAAATGTAAAATTGAATCAAACAAAATACTTCCACTTCTGTCATCATTGGCATACAAAAATGACATGTACATTGTATTCATTAATTAATATTTTTCATTCAATTCTAATTAAATTTTTCTCATTAAAATTTACCCTTTATTTGTTGAATTGTCAAATTCTCATAAAATCATTTCTAATAATAAATCACTTGTAGGTTGAATTTCATTTCGAAGTCGCTCGATGTGCATTTCTAATTTAGTCATTTTTTTTCGTTTCTTTCGATTTCGTCTGCTTAAATCAGTTACTTTTTTTACTGAACTTATCACTCGAAGAAAAGTAGAATTTTTGACAAACCCGTCTAAGCAGACTAATTTCTGCTACTAATTCGTGTACTGTAGGGAAATTGCAGCACTAAACTTTCAAGGGTTACTGACCCACTTTTCAAAATCTGACCAGATGATCAAACAAAAACCTTTTTCTTGGTTGGGCTGAGAACTTTTCAGTACTTTTCTTTTTGTACCTCGTTAAAAATTTAGAAAAAAAAGAACTTTCCTTAAAGTTTTATAAAAAAAAAAAAAAAAAGTTTTATTATCCAAGATAAACTTAGATATTTATTTTTATTTTACTACTACTTGGTAAAAATGAGTAATTGGAAAAAACAAAAAAGAAATTGATGATTTACATTTACACAATCATTCTCTCAGGAGGCCTGCTTTTATAAAAAAAAATATTTGGATCAGAATTTAATTGCTCGAAATTTTATAAAATTAAGTGGGTGTAAAAACAGCTGTAAAATATAAAATAAAAAAAACATACCAAGATTTTCTAAAAAAAAATATTTCCTAAATAATTTCATTCATTTTGAATCCTGAAAATCTCATTAAAATCCGACAAATATTTGATTTTTGCAATAATTTCCAAAACACCGCGTTTTTTAAACAAAAAGATGATAAATTTCCCATCGTTTTGGCCCACAACTGACGAGAAAAACAAGATTTTTTAATTTCGAACGCACTAAAAGATTAAAATAAAAAATACTTTGGTCTTTCCTAAGTTAACAAACATTTTGACGATAAAACTTTGTTTTCTTCAAGTTTTTCATCATGCTGCTTTTTTAGCGAAAAAGTGGAGGTACCTCCTAGCGCTTCATTTAAGGAAAATGTCTGGCGAAAAATCGTAAAATGTGCTGATTAAAATTTTAATGTCTGTCATGAAAGTTTTTCAATCATCTGACTGCAGTGTTCATTCCTAAAAAAAAAAAAAAAAAACTAGGAAGAAATTACAAATATTTTAATTTGTCAATTATGTTTTGAAAGAAACGTCTTTTTACTTTATCTATCAACAAATTGCGTCATTTTTTTTTTTTTTTTTCTCAGAAAATAAATAAAATTAGCTTTTCTTCTTTTTTTTTTTTTAATACAGATTTATTTTATTCCAAAGAAGAAAAAAACTGGGCTTGTTTTTCTTGCGAGAAACAATCTCCAGAATTGTGAGGGAGATTAATTAATTTGGATTCAAAACTCTCTCTATTCAGGTTACTTGTGTTCGCTCTTTTTTGTGCGATTCATTTTTAGTTATCGTAGATCAAGGGAGTGAAACTTGAAGAATATTTTTCAAATAATATTGATTTGGTGTACTATTCATGGTACTGATCTCTGAAAACGAACTCGCTTATAGAACTAGGTAATTTTTTGCATTTGCAAAAAAATTCATCATATTTGAATAGATTTACAAATTGTGCTATTTTTGGATACAGGAATACTTACAGTGATATTGCGCAACTTAATGTAATCAGTTGTCCTCCTTACTGATTATTATTATTATTACTACTCACTAAAATACAAATTTGAACAGTCATTTTGGAAAATATATTAAATTATTAGTTATAATAAAACAACTTTTCAGTGTGTGAATCTCTTAGAAATATATTTATTTACTTTTAGAAACCAGATGCTAAAATGATTAAATAACATAAAATTTGCCACTTTATAAAACTGGATTATGTATTGTAACATAACCATAATGTAAAACTAAAAGTTTGCTTGTCTTTTAAAAGATATTTTTTAACATCGAAACAAATTTTAAGGTTCTTTTTTATTTACACTAGATATTCATTTCTGCAGGTTTGTGATGTGTATTGACAACATTGTTTATCTTACAAAAATTTATAGAAAAGTATTTTCTAGGATATGTAGATCTATTTGTAGAGTATTATAGGTCTGCAGGTTTTTATGGAATGAGGTTGAGAACCATTGGAAAAATTGAATTCAACATTTCCAGGAATAAATTTCAATATGTGGAGATATTTTTATATAATTAACATGATTCACAAAAGAGAAACTATACTAGTATGTACACATATAGCTGAAAAGAATTATAGAGGTTGAAAATAGGGTTTGTGTGAATTTTAGGTGAAACAATTATGATAGAAGCATACAAAAACTTGAGTTTCTGCTATGAATGTTTGTTCCCTTTATGATCACTGTAATGAAACACAGTCCTCAATGTGTCTTGTCTCTCTTCTTTTTTGGTTCAGAAGTAAGGATAATAATGGTTAGAATAGTTGAACTCAGGTCAGTTTATCACTGAGTTGGAACGACTAAAGGAAAGTTTCTACTTACTTTATCACTGGGAGATTTAAACATGGTTATGGGATGTCTGTTTTGTTTTTCTTGATTCATAGGTTAAAGTCAATACAAGAATCATTTCTATGGTTATGCTCAAAGAGAAAGCTTGACATACTTCATAGGTTGAGGTTTTTGGAAGACACATGCAAGTGCCATGCTTCTGAAAGTGGGGAGAGAGTTCAGTCATCAAGGGACTGAGGAAACTAACATTCCCCAGTGGGAACATAATTACCACATGGTTCACATTTTGGAAGAAAGAGTAAGACAGAAAATGTTTGCTTTTTTTTTTTATAGGCTTCAACAATGTCACCTAATGACATTTGACAAAACTAAGTGGGGTAATCATATTTTCATGAGAAAATGTATTTCTTTTTTTTTTATTACTCATTATTATCATTTTTTTAATTTCATTTTTTTCCACAGAGTAAAAAAACAAAAAACATTTATAGTCTTCACAGTAGTATGTGAATGTGAACATGCATGCAGGAGGTGCACCACATGCCTGGGTGGCTAAGTTCCCCTAGAACAGAAAACTGGACAAGTATTCCAAAATGAAAAGAGGAATCCAGAGCTTATGTCCTTCCTCTTATAGTCCTGAGTAATGCCACTTAGTGAGCATCTTGTTTACCAGGTGGGAGTAATCCCAACATATATCACAAAATCTAAATATAAACTCAACTAAAAATCTGCTCACAAAATTTGCATGCTTGAATTAAAATCAAGAGATTCAGTTGATATGATTCAAATAAATTTTGTTTTAAGTATTAGGGACAAGATGATAAAATCTCTTCTTAGAGAAAGGTTATGTTGAATTGCCTAATTATTCATTTTTTGTAGGCTTTAAATAATCTAACAGTGAGATGATTCTAAGACTAACAGTTTACCATGATTTATTATTATCAGATAAAGTTATATTGATGCAGATGACACTGAAGGAAAAGTTCAATGATTCAGAAAGAAAACTGAAAACTATTAGATAATGTAATTGCAAAAAAAAAAGACCCGAGGAAGACAGAATGCATAGTGTGAGAAAAAGAGACAGTCCAATGTGTGAGTTACATATTGAAGGTGTCAAAAACAAGCAACTAGATAATGTTGTTTTTTTTTTTTTTGTTAAATCAGTGTCACACCAAGTAAGGCAGTACAGCCATTAACATGCAAGGGGTTCAGGGTGTGGAGGAATTACGAACAGAAACATTACTTATGAGTAGAGAGAGAAAAGAGCATTTAGGAGGATAGTAGATAGTGATTGGCATTGCAATTAAATTCTTGCAGATTAAAGTTGGCTGGAAAGCATGGTGCTGGAAAGGAGTTCCACAAGTGAGAGTTGTGAGAAAAGAAACTGTTAGTGTAGATGTTACGACTACATCTAACTAGATCAATTGTAAATTGATGCAATCTCACCACCAGTCTAGTATTGTGCTCAAATTCATACAGTCTAGGTACCTAGCAAAGAGCTCATCTGAACAGTTACCATGAAAGTATTTGTAAAAAAGGCACAGAGAGCTAACCTTACAGCGATGGGCAAGTGACTGAAGCTGAGCCACCAGCTCAAGACCAATAATATTGCTGATTCTTATTTGGATCTTATCAAGGAGCTCCAAGTACATCGCAGGAGCACCGAACCATATATGGTGGCAATATTCTAAGCATGGGTGAATGGTAGACTTACAGATATAGAAGATAGATTCCGGAGAGAAAAATTGTCTCACCTGATATAGTGAACCAACTTTCTTAGCAGCTGACCTAGCAATGGATTTGATATAATTTTTCATTTCATGTCAGCTGAGAACGTTAGCCCAAGAAGGTGCAATGAGTCAATTTCCTGGAGGATAGCATCAGCCATGCTGATGAAAGGCAAAGCGGGGTCTCTCAGGTGATTAATGGAGAGAAGTTTAGTTTTGGAGGCATTAAAATTGACAAGCCATCTTTTGTCCCAGTTAACGACAGTCTTGAGGTTGTTTTGTACATCAGCTGCTATTTTGATCTTGTCAGACTGATCAGCCTTAGTATCAAGGTAGGATTAAATGGTACTGTTGTCAGTGTAGATGTCAAGTTGAGAGCTGATGTCATCGGGAAGGTTGTTAATGAAGATTAAAACCAGTGTGGAGCCCTGGGGTACACCTGTGTTAGTACAAAAGGATCTATATGAGTGGCCATTCAGGACAACTTTCATTTCACGATTTGATAGGAATGACTGCATCAGCTCAAAAATATGCCTGGAGATACTGTAACTTTTCAGCTTGTGAAGAGGGCCTGAATGCCACACCCTATCAAAGGCTTTTGAGATATCCAAACCTACAGCCAAGGCTTTGCCATTTTTATCTAGAGCATGATAGACTCTTTCCACAATTATCGTTAGTACATCAACAGTTGACCTGGAGAAACAAAAACTGTATTGCTTGTCTGAGGAAAGGCCCTGCTATGAGAGATAGTAAACCAATTCGGCATTGATTAGGGCCTCTAGGAGTTCCCCAAAAAGGGGTAGAAGGATAGCAGGCTGATAGGTGGGTCAGACAGTTCACCAGACAATGACTTCCAGCAGGCTGGAAAGCAGGAGGCAGCAAGGCATTTATTATACAGTTTAGAGAGAACAGAAGCCAGTTCGGGAGCACACTCCTTAATTACTATTACAGAGATATCATCGGGTCCATATGCTTTGTGGGGATCAAGTTCAGAGATGATAACAGAAACAATGGAAGGAGTTATATGCATATCACTCAGCAGAGAATCTAAGTGGGAAGTTAGGTGAAGTCCAGATGAGTCATGAGTAGAGTCTGAGGAGAATTTACGGGCAAAGCATTCAGTTTTATCAGCAGAGGATAATAACATCTCAAATTGATTGAAGAGGGGGTGAATAGAGACCTTGCACTTATTTAGTACTCTATTACAGAGATGCCAGTAATCACAAGAGCTATTGTTGGAGGCTATGTGTTGCTTCATTCTCTCAGCAAACCAGGACTTAGCTCCTTCAAGGACTTGCTTACATTTGTTACGAGCAGTAGAAAATAGGCACTTGTCATGCTGGTATAACCGGAAATAGTGCTTCCTGTGTGCTATAGCAGCTGAGCATGCTGGTGGTCAGAGTTACTAAGAGGGCAGTATTGTGAAGCTTGACAAGAGCGAAGAGAGGAGGTAAAAAAACAGATCCAGTGGCTAGGGAAATGAGTAGGGAAGTCCACGATTTGAGTGATGTAGAATCATACAAGAGAAAATACCACATTATAGGAAAAGCAAAAATACTTTTCAGGAGCTTAATAAGGTATGAAGGGATTAGAAAATAACACCGGAAATGAAGAAGAATATTGAACTGTTATGTAATGTCTAACTTCTTGGACAATTTCATAACAATTGAAGAATATAACTTGAAGTTCTGCTGATGAATATTGAGGATAACATGAGCAGAAGACAAATGAAAATGCTTTAAGGATAATAGGAATGACAAAAAAGTTGTTGTTAGCACTCAGAAATTTTGAGATATATTATGAAGAAAGAAGGCTTCGAGAAATTTACACTCACTGGGCACATTGAAAACTAGAGAAGCAGAGAAAGACAGTAAGTAACATAGTTGACAGGTTTGAGCAAATGGATAGAGGAACGAGTACCAGAAAGATAAAGAGATTATAAAAGAGGCAAGTATTGCTGGGAGACAACAAAAAAATAAGTTGTGGACATCCATGATCATCCATATTCTGAAAGAATATGGCCCAGAGATAGTTTTTTTTTTTATATTTTTGTAATATATGAATATTCATGAAAGGACTGAGTATTGGAGATTAATTTTATTTTCATAGATTTGATGAAATAATAAAATGAATACTATTCATCAACTCCTTTTATTTCCATTATATCTATTTATTAAGAAAATTTGTTCCCCCCACTATATTGTGATTATTGGTATTGTAGAATTGTCTGCAGTTAGCTATCATACAAATATACTTACCATACAAATAACTTGTTATTGCTGTTGTTGGTCAAATAAATATATATCTTTTTCCTTAGTTTGATTTTTAATTCATGTTTGATTTCTATCTAAATTAGAAACATCTATGACCAAAAGAGTAAATGCATGCAAGACACAGCCTATTCATAATTTTAAGTACTCATTATATGTTAAAGAGCATTTTAGTGCATTCAGCAGATATTTGTCATATTGAATATTGTAAATGCTAGAAGTTGAACTGCTGTGGATATAACATGTGAAAGACAGTATAACAAGTCAATTAGTTGAAAAAGAAGAACCTTTTCCATGCAATCAAATTTTTAATATTTACAATATTCATTATGTTAGCACATTGAAATTTGATTAATCAATAAAACGCATTTTTTTCTTAGTTCCTTACATGATGATGGCTCTTTTCTAAATGTGCTCTAAAGTATAAATTAGAATAATCAAAACTAAGTTTACTAGTCTAATTCATACATGTATAAAGTATTGTTATTTAATGTGATCTTATTTTATTTTGTCTGTTGATCTCTTATTGTAACAAGTTATTTTTTTCTTGATTTGCACGGAAGAGGAAAGTTAGATTATCCCAAATGTGGTAAAAACAATAGCAATGCTATCAGCAATTCTATGAGCTACACTGTTTTACCCTGTAAGAGTTGGAATGCAAGGTAGCTGTTTACCTTCAGTCAGTTATGTGCCATGCATGATAAATGCTTAGGCAATCATGTGTTTTTTGATACATGACTGATGAGGCAGATTTTTTTCCCACAGTAGGTTGCCATTTCTTTCTGCAGTAGAGCAATTGCCATCCAAAGTTATAGAACCCAATCTGTCCTACTATTTACCCATGGCTGGAGGGAGAAGAGGATTCATATACTTTCCCAAGGGTAGTAGCACATAAGTGAATGCAATGGAGTTGACTGGAACTTGGCTCTCCGATTCCTCAATCTGAGCCGCTATCCATTACTCCACTGTCAAAAAATCAATTAATGATAAAGTTAAATTATTTATTGATAATAACTGTTGTTTCAGGATAAAAAGATATTTTATCAAATATAAGACTCAAATAATAAAGTTGTAATTCTCTTTTTTTATTTTTAGATAAGAATCCTGATAATGCCGAAGAATGTACTGTACAATTTCGCCTTATACAGCAAGCGTATGAAGTTTTAAGTGACCCTCAAGAAAGAGCTTGGTATGATAAGCACAGAGATGCAATTCTTCATGGAGGTTTGTACATTTTATTCTTATTTAGTTGATTACTTTAAAATTTTAGTACAGAAAGCTCATTATTTTTTATTTAATTTATTTATAGGACTTGGCCGTGGAGATTTTGAAGATGACAGTCTGGATGTTTTCCTGTATTTTAATTCATCTTGCTATTCTGGTTTTGGAGATGATGATAATGTGAGTTGTTTTGGATTTGCTTTTTTTTTTGTTTTCATTTTTGGTGTCTTATAGTTTTTTTTTTTTTTTGTTTTTTTTTGAGATATTGTTAATGCTTCCAAATAACTTTTGAAATAACTGCACTGCCGAAAAATGTATTATATAAAAATTAGCTCTAAAAGTTTGATGGAGACTAGCTTAATTATATAACCAAATTAAAACAGATTGAGAGGTTTTATGGTATGAACTTTTATAGCTGCTTGCTTATTCTTGAAATATGAATTCCTGTGGCATCTAAATATTATATAACAGTGTTAATAGTAATTAAGTGATTTGTGTTACATAAGCTTTACAATTGAATAGATCTTCTTTTTTATGGCATTTACATGTTAAGAATACATTCTAGCTTAAATTATTTTGCCTTAAACTCAGATATGACTTGTGATAAGAAAAAAAACTTATCATACAAATATCTTATTATTGGTCAAATAAATATGTTTTTTTTCATAATTTGATTTTTAATTTATGTTTGATTTTTATCTAAATTAGAAAAATCTATGACTAAAAGAGTAAGGTGATTACAACAAGAACATTTTTAGATGAACATCATAATCAAGTTGTGAATTCAAATTCTGGTGGTGCATTGAATATTTAAATATTATTTGATGTGTACAAAAGTTTTCAATACTTTCTTGAAAACTAGAGACCTCATACACAATTGAAGACCACTTGTTCACTGGAAATTCTTGCACACATCTAATACCTTTTCTATTTACTGAATATTGTCTTTTATAGGCATGCTACTCTATTTTAAATGATTCTGTTTAAATCTATTACTGCAAAGTAATTGTACTTTTTTTATGAAATCAATTCATTTAGTTATCACATACTATGCTGTCGATAACAGTAAGAAAATTTGGATAATGGTTTTTATAAGGTCTTTTAAAAAATAAAAAATGTTTACTCAATTTTGTAAACCATGCTTAGAAGCTATACTGTATTAAACATCTTTTTCTAGATCCAGTCAGTTATGTGCCATGCGTGATACACGCTTAGGCGATCATGCATCTTTCGATACATGACTGATGAGGCAGATTTTTTTTACTGCATTCGGTTGCCATTTCTTTCTGCAGTAAACCAGTTGCCATCCAAAGCAATAGAACTCAGTCTGTCCTGCTATTTACTCATAGCTGGGCAGGGAGGATTCATACCTTTCCCAAGCACATAAGTGAATGTAATGGAATTGACTGGAATTCAAACTTGGCTCTCTGATTCCTCAATTCAAGCCGCTATCCATTACTCCTAATATAAATCAAGAGCATAACATTTTTTGATATGTGTAATTATAGCCATATAATTATGTATGACAAAGAAGTTTTTTATATTCCTTGTGTGTTTGTTCCAAGCACAGCTAAATTCAGAAAATATCTTTACAATAAAATGCATTTTATTACTAATTTAAGACTGGACATATTTTTGTTTATGCCTTAAAAAAAAAATCTTTCTATGTTGTTTATTTCATGCATGTATTAGTTTTTAAATTAGTCTTTATTATTTATCTAATAATTTTATTTTCTACTGAAATATCAAATTAATTTACTTGCACTTATTTTTTCCAGGGTTTTTATTCTATCTATAGAAAGGTGTTTGAAACTATTGCTGAAGAAGACTACAAATTTATGGATGATGTTGATGATTTTGAAATCCCTTCCTTTGGTTATAGTGACAGCAACTACCAAGAGGTAAGTGATAGTTTTTAAATTTATAAAAATTTTCATAATTATATGAGTTAGAAACATGATTGAACATCTTGTCAGCCAATTTTTTCCAATGGTGTGGGAGAGGAGTTAATGCCAATCTTTCAAAAACCTTAATGAGAAGTGTATTAAGGCAGCCAACCATCAGAATGTTTAAGATATTTTTTCCTGGAATTGTTTTTCTTATTATTGTCAGTATAGAACTCATTTCTTTTAAGGACGTCTACAAGCTAGTTACTTCCATTTTGATTTCAATTGATGTGATGTACAGTTTCCCAATCTTGATAATTTTCAGAAGTTTAAATTTGTGCTGAAAAGTTATTTGCCCAACCAAGAAGAGATTCCAAAATAAATTGATATTTGGTTATTTTGTTAGATTTGGGGAAGTGAGTTGAATTGCTCGTTTTTCATAACCCCTCGTATTTACTTAGACTTCATTTCAAAATGATTTTATATGAAGTTAGATAAACTCTAAATAAACTTTTCTTTACTTTCATATAACACTAGAACTTCTATTATATGAAGAGTTAAACTTCAGTTGTCTATTGATTCTTACAGCTCTTTGGTAGCATCCTTAATTCATCAAGACCTAAATCACATTTCCTTCAGATGTTATCAAATAATTTGGTTAATTCTTAGAAACTTGTTTTATGATGTTCATTTTTCCACTTCCATTCATTTTAGTCACTATAAGATATATGATAAAACATTTCAATGAAGTCCACTATATAAGAAACCAGATGCTATGAAATAATAAATATCAATTTCTTAAAAATTAAAAAGCCCAACATATATTGATGAAAAACTGTTGCAACATTCTGCCAAATTCTTTCTATTTAATTGATGATACTTCAAAATCATTTCAAACACTAATAATGGTATCAGAAATACTTTTTTTTTTTTTTTTTTTTACCAGTTTTATAAGGTATAAACTAGAAAAGGTGGCTGAAATCAGTAAATTTTTGGGTTGATAAAGAAGTATCAAAAGTTTTCATCCCAAACAAGAAAGGATTAAAAAAAATTCTGATTGGGCATTTGGTCAGATTTGGGGAAGTGGGTTGTATCAAGAACCTTTCAGCACCTCATATAAGCATAAATGGTTAAAGTTATTTATAATAAATTGTGATATTTTGATATTCTGTGAAAGAATTCATATTTGCAGCTCTTAAGGACAGATATTCCACAATTGGAATAAAAATTGCCTTTATTCACATATAAACATCAAAAATTTAAGAAAACAATACCTTTATAAATATGATGGCTTATGAACATCACTAGAGTTAAGCAATGTTAAGACTGGTCAGTACCTAGATGGCTGGCCGCTTGGGAATACCAGGTCTTGTAAGCTTGTATATGCGGGTGGTGTAATGGATAATGGCTTGGAATTGTTAATCAGAGAGCTGAGTTTCAATTCCTATTGGGTTCATTATATTCACTTACATGCAAATGTCCTTGGCAAAGATATGGATTAACCTCTTTCCTCCAGCTCTGGGTTAATTAGTAAAACTTGTATCACTGAACTATTATTATCTCACCCCACAAAATTCTTACAATCTAAGAATATTTTCTGGTTTTAAATAACCTTTAAAAAAGGTTGATAAGCTGTAGAAAATGAATGGAATAAATAAATCAATCAATATAAATATGAATCCTTGATTTCTCTTTGTGTTGAATTAATGTGCTTTTTATTTTAAGGTTGTCAACAAGTTCTATGGATATTGGTCCAGTTATTGTACTGCTAAATCATATGTTTGGAAAGACAAATATGATATCCGTGAAGCTCCTGATCGTAGAACTCGTCGTATGATTGAAGCAGAGAATAAGAAATTTAGAGATGCTGCCAAAAAGGAAAGGAATGAAGAAGTTCGAGTAAGTATTGATTTGTCATTTTTACTTTCTTGGCTTGGTATAATTTCTCAATTCGTCTGGTTGATATTCTGGTGTACATCTATACAGATAAATATGCTGGCCATTATTTCATTTCTTGAATCACTTATTTGATTTCAGTTTAACAATACTTGAATATTGGTGTACAAATGCAGGTGTAACTTAACTAAAGATTTATTCAACTTAGAATGAAATGTATCCTATTGGACTTACTTAAATGCAGAATACGTTGGAAGGGGAGATAATCCATACTACATTCTCCCCTGCTTGCTATTTGTAGGGGATAAAGTCATTCCATTGGTCCGATCTGCGGATCTCTTGAGGACATTGTGGTGGTTTGTAGCAATATCCGCCCCTGACATTAACTCATCTGAACTTGTTGTTCTGGGTTTGTCTTGCCTATCTGTCTTTGAAGTATAAATCTTCAACTTGAAGTGTTTATGTAGTCTTTGATTTATAAGCCCCTCTGTGTCTGAATTTGAAGTAGCAGTGTCCATTTCAGAGTGGACCCGCTTTTTAGTTTTTTAGGTGCTAACACCTCATCAGAACTAAAGTCATGTTGGTCCATTTGTTCTGGTAGTGATTGCTACCACAGGGGACAAATCCTTCAATCACAGTATCTCGTCTCCTGTCCAAGTGCTGGACAAATGCATAATTTGGGTTTGCCTGTATTAATTTGACTTCATTCACTAGTGAGTCATTTTTACTGTGTCAAATGTGGCATCTCAGAAGGACTGTACCTGGTTATGATCGCCATGACAGGGGTGAGGTTCCTCGCAATATTTTACATTGGAATGGTAGAAACCTTTTTTGTGGTTTTGTGTTCATTGCAGTGCACAACAGGGTTCAGATAGTGTCCAGAGACTCTGGGAGGAGGCTTTCCCAGTCAGTGATCAGGCGCATTTAATTCACAGCATACAACTGAATGGTTTTCCAAATAATACCATTGTATTTTTTGCACAGCTTGTTGCCTTGGGGTTTATACGGTGTAGTCCAACTTACACCAAACCTTGTCCATAGAGGAATTGCCTAAGATGTTTTGATATGAATGATGTTCCTCAGTCTGAATGGATATATGCTGAGGATCCAAAAAGGGAAAACAAAGAATGCAGATATTTTATTACCAAGTTTGCAGATGTATCTGGGCAAGGATATGCAAATAGAAATCATGAATATTAATTGATTATAGTTAGCAGGTATTGGTTTTTAGTTTTCGATTCTATGGAACCTTTGAAGTCCACATTTAGCCTTTTGAAGGGTTGAGTGGCTTTTATAAGGACTCCTGGTGTTGGCCTATAAAACCGTAGCTTGTGTTCAGTTCAGATTCAGGAGGATGTTGTAATCTTCTTAAACTCAACAGAGTAAGGAAAATTCTGGCTTTGTACTACATGTGGCATAGTTTATTATGTAGGGTTCAGAAATTGTTAAAACTTGGCATAGCGCTACTAACTCTCAATAATGTGTCTACCATAGTGCATTTTCTTTGCCAGGACGATATATATCATTGAAGGAGAAACGAGCTCAATCTTCCATCTTGCTATTTTTTTAATTTTTACTTGATTTGGAGTTAAACATAAATGCAACTGATTTTTGGTCTGTTACAAGTGTGATGTGACGCTCAATTAGGTAATGCTTCTATGATGACATAGGCCTCTTTTTAGATAACTGAGTGTTGATGTTCAGCACATGACAGGGCCCTTGAAAAAAAGCAACAGGGCAACCATTTTGCCTCAGTGACACAGCAATGGCACTATCAGATGTATCCATTTCCACGACTAGTGGGGGTGCAGAGTCTATAGTGACTATCACAGCATTTGGTATGTTGTTTTTGGAATACCTTAACAGCATTGGGAGATGGGGGGAAATTATTGGCTTGTACTAGTGGACATGTCTTCTCTGAAAAAGAAGAAATCCACTGCAAGTAATGCACAAACATACTCATAGGTTGCTGAAGTGCTTGCTTGTTGTCAGGAACTGGCAGTTTGAGCAGGAGTTTTAATCACTCAGTGTCTGGCTTCATATTTCCTTCACTCACAGTGTACCCTAATATATTGAGTGTTCTTACTCCAAAGAAACATTTGTCATAATGTAATATAAGGTTGTATTTATTAACAGCTGCTATGAACTGTTTAAGGTTGCAATCATGGTGTGACTGGTTTAGTCCATAGACTGTTACATTATTGATGTAGGTAAATGTGTCCTTCAGTTTTTCTGTGCTTATTATAATGTCATTGATTCTTTAAAATTCAACACTGTTAGTCACACCAAATGGAATCTGTCAAAAATGACACAAACGGCTTCTGGCTTGATTTCTACTTGGTGTGGTATGCACTCTGTAGATGCAAAGTACTATAAACATGATATTTGGCAATTTCACTCACTGTCCTGTCGATGTGAGACAGCGGGTATGCATCCAACTGGTTGAACCTTTTAATTTTTGGTTTTAATAAATTGTCATCGTGTGAGTACTGTCTATATTTTTACTGCTATGGGTTTGCAATCCAACGTTAGGTTGTTAAAAAGTGACAGTTACTGAACATTGATTGCTGCTAGTCTGCAGATTTTTAAAGTTTGGGTCCTCCAAAAGGGATTATGATACTAGAATATTAACAGGAAGTTTTATCCTAGTATCACACTGCGATAGAATTTCTTCATTACTGACAGTTTTGTGTAAATGTAAGTATTATTTTTTAGCTGAATCTGACCAAGCAGTAGCCAATTACGTCTGCCATAGTTACTTTGGTGGAGCAAGGAAAGTTCTGCCACTTAATAGCTTTCACCACATTTGAATCTATGTAGCTTGCAGAAATAACCTGTGTCAATAAGGGTATCTACAGTTACATTGTGGAGCGTGTGAAGATTGACATATTTAGAAAAATCTCAGAGTTTCTCACATTTGCAACATTTTATGTTTCTAGCTGGACAGGAATATCGGGGGGTGAAAAGAGAATACACAGAAGAAGCATTTTTTTGTTGAGACTGTCATGACTGGTTGCTCAGAGGTAGAACCTTGGTCATGAGAAGATGCTGAAGACAAAAATGAAAAGAACTATGAGACTCCTGAGATGTTCCATTAGTAGGTAAGAAGAAAATGGACTGTCTCTGGGTGACTTCTAAATTGTGGGCTGTCTTGTAGGCAGTTCTTAATGTCATGGTTTTGTTTTGGAAGAGTTTCTGCCTCACTTGAACATTTTGAAGGGTGTTTATAAAGACGTCTATATGTTCATCCCAGACTTCTGCATTCATTGCTTTAAAATTGAAGTTTTTGCTTAGCGTTCTCAATTCAATTACGTAGCACTTGAGTGATGCAGAATCTTCCTTTTTTCGAGTGGCAAGTAGATGTTGAGCAAAAAATTTGTTCTTAGGCCTATTCTGTAGGCTTGGGCAGATAGTTTATTATCAGCCTTGTCTTATGGGTACTCCACTTTAAGGGTTTCTATAAAGTTTTTGAATGTTAAAATCTAATGGGTCCATTGCTCAGTGGCTGTAGTATGGTCATGATAGATGTCGATTATTTTTGTCTCATGCAGTGTTGCAGATTTCTAAGTTGAACAAATTTTGTAGTGAGAAAACGAATGCAGGTGTAACTTAACTAAAGCATTAATGAAGCTTAGAATGAAGCGTCTCCTATTTGACTTACTTAAATACAGAATACGTTGGAATGGGAAATTCTAATCATATATATTATTATTTTATATATATTATTACTTATTATAAAACCCAGGTTGTGTGTGTGTCTGTTCGTTTATATATTGGATCGGATTTCCTACATTTTTCAACTGATTTCAACAAAACTTCACAGGACTACATAAAATTACCTTACGGTGGTTCTGACAGTGCCAAAAATTGGAAAAACACAATTGTTTTTGCACGAAATCAATTTGAAAACATGATTAAGAGGCATCGCTGTTGTGAGAATGAAAGGGGGACAACTCATATCGAGTTTTACTTATTATAAAACCCAGGTTGTTTGTTTGTGTGTTTATATATGGGATCGGATTTCCTACATTTTTCAACTGATTTCAACAAAACTTCACTTTTTTTTTTGGCAGGTAGTGTTTCTTATTGTCTTGCACACTTTTTTCTTTATTTTTACATTCAGAATGCTTTAAAAATTTCCTTTACAAGACAATTGTTTATAATAAAATTCTATTCAATCGGTAGACTCATAACGATTGAAAACAATGTTTTTGTTTGAGTTTGGGTTTGACCAATTCGTAAAAGAAACAAAAAAAAACCCCAAAAAACATGTATGTTCGTCAACCTTAAACAATAATCTTTGTCAATCTTATTTTTCAGTCTTTATGATGGTTGATACTTGATCTATCACTTACTGTTACATCCCCGGGCTCTACTGCTAGTTGCTAATATATATTTCTGTAATGCACAAAAGTACATTTCAAATGACTTGAATTATAATAAAATAAACCAATTATGAGAAATAAGGAACCTTGGAATCCTCAGTGTTCATAAATGGAATAAAACAGAGTGAAGAAGTAATTATAGATTTCTGAAAATAACCTGTTTATTAACAGTTTGAAAGCAGTGCCAAGTGATTTAATAAAAAGAATGTTTGAAAATGGAACTAATAAAACGGTTTCCAGTTTAAATAAGTAAAGTAAAGATTTAAATTTTTTTTTTCTTATAAATTCTCATTTTGATTTTGGTTCATTGTTTTATATCAATTACAAAAAAAAAAGACTCTTATATATGAGTAAGTTTCTCATACTGTAACTCAATGCAGTCACAAACATTTCATGCTTGGAACTGAGTAACCACTCAGTATGGTATTTATTAGGAATTAATTTTAAAAATGTGCCGTCTACCTCCTAATTATTGTAGACAACTTCCATAAAGTAACTATTGATACGTTCTTCTCACCTGACCATTCACTTGTGCAGCAAGTTCAATTCTAATGGAGTGCCTCACTTAGTTAAGCCGAATAAATATCTACTTTGGGTTATCTATTGTTTTTGTTACTTTTAAGTTCTCTCCCTTGTATTAATATTGCATGGATTTACTTAGTGAATTCGAAATCCAGAAAAAAAAAGTAAATAAATTTTTATCTCCTAGTTTGAACAAAGTAACTGATGATTCAACCTATCAATCCAAAGAGAAAGAAGTTGTTCCATCTCTTCAAAGATTTTTCCTCTTTTCTTATTGATAACGGTATTCTTCATCTCTGGGGCATCAGATTTGATGTGTACCAAAATTTCGTCCTTATTGTGAACAATCATCAATACAGTTGTCCAACTCGTTCCAAAAGATCGAGCAATCAATATAACTTTTCATCTTTTATCATAGTAAGTTTATCGTCCAGTGTTATAGTATGACGCTTAGCACTTGCACTAGGTATTTTCTTAGGGGCCACTGGAGAAAAATATGAAGTCACAAATGATTGAGAAAGAGAGTACCGTGCATATGCCTAAACTAAACTGGATTTCAGTTTCATGGGAATGACAAGTGGTGCTGACAACAATGCCATATGATAGATATTGGAACTGCTGTGGAAAACACCAATATTGAGCTCTTAAAGATTGTTAAGACAACAACACAGTCACAGATGTTTTCATATTTCGTTCTCTAGGATTTATGATGATTATATTAACATTTACTGTAAATGTACATATTCTAATATGATTTTATATACTTTTATTCTTATTTATTGTACAGTAACATGATTTTATGTGCTTTTAACATTTTTCTAGTGATATTACGACTTCAATATTTGTGGCAGACAGACATAAAGTTGAATAGAGTGACTTAAATTTTTATTTTTCCATATATTTTTTTGACAAACTATGTATAATCGAGAATGACTTAACTCAAAACAACGTAACCTGAGGTATACCTGTATTTTATTTAAAAATATTGAAACTTTCCTTTTTAGGTAGCAATATAATTTGACTGAAAGTTTAAGACGTGAATTCTCTTGAGCAAGGTTTGCCTGTTCACTTTCATTTATATGTAACCAGTAGTTTTCCAGTTTGCATTTTTTGCCAATGCTGATTTGTTTTCTATTTACTGTTAATAAAATGTAGTGGATGTTACATTGGCACTTGTATTCTGAATCCATGTTGAGTAATAAAGTATAAGCAAGCTAAACTATCAATACATCTCTTCATTAACATTAAACCCTCTGGCTGTAACTTGTGACAATTCATGAATTTTGATAAACAACCATTAAAAAATAGCTAATAACCAAGTACTTGAAAGCAAGTAGACTTTGAGTGAGTAAACCATATTTTTTACCAAAATGAAAGTGCAACAGTTTTGTTTTTCCTGGTTTGAATGTTAATGAAGTAATGCTCAATTTAAAGATATTAGAATATTGATAATGTTAATCTTAATAATATTAACTGTTCTTGATAATTATTGTTATAAAATACCTCGGACAATAAATTGTACCTTAAAAAAATCTATAGCTTTATGATGAAAAAAAGCACTTACTTGACACAATAAATATTCTTCAACATAATCTCCTTCTTTGTCAATGCACTTAATTCAATGGTGAATATTAATCATATATTATTATACAGTAAAAGTTTCAGACTGAAATTCAGCCATGTGTCAAGCTATGTAACTGAATGATCTGGAATTTTCTGCAACAGAATCTCGATACACAACATTGATTTAGAACAAATAACTTCTGTGTTAAATCTAGAAAAGAAATGATTATAAGAATAGATAGCCCAATCAAACGTTTCAGTGCGTTTTGAGATGGCTAATTATTACTTTCTTGATATTTAATTACAAATTTATGTGATTTAGAAAAGTTATTTGTCATTAAATAATGCTACACTTTTATATTTCCCAGTAGTAAGATTCATGTGTGCAGCCTCACACGAAGAATCTTCAAATACCATATTTTACTTGTTGCTAGTGTTTTTGCTTGGGGTTGAATTCTGTGAATATATGGTATTTTGAGTTCATGATAATTAACACTGACTTATTTTCAATTTTAGCAACTGGTGGCTTTTGTTAAGAAGAGAGACAAAAGAGTAAAAGCTTATAAGGTAAATAATTTTCCATTTGTTTTTGTTTATTGATATTTAAATGAAACTGAGTTGAATATGTAAATGATATTTTATATCTTAAAACGATCCCATGATTATACAACTTTGATAAAAAAATTTAATGTTTTTTTTTTTTCTTCATATAGAAAATTTCTGTTAATTTAAAAAAGTAAGCTTAAAAATGTGTTTGATTGTTGATGAAGATCTATATAAATATAGCACAGTGTACATGTGTCTGTCCATCTGGGTTTTTTTTATCTCAGTGAATCATGAACAACATGAAATAACAGGTAGTAACTACTGTAGTTACACATTAAAATTTTAAATAACTTGGTCATTTCAGTAAAATACTTATAGCAAAAGTTCTACTCAGTTTCCCAACATGAATTTTTTGTACATATCATGACATAAGACCGACAAATTATTTAACAAATTTAAAAATAAATAAAATATCATTTTTTGATAAAATGAAGGTCAAAGACAAGGTCAACTTGCCTTATCTGACCTCTAGGATAGAAAATACATATGGTTCATTTTAGATCTACCCAAGTACTTTAAAATAGTATATAAATAAGCTTTTTGGGTGCAAAAACACCGGAGATATTAAATTTTAAACTTTGTCACTATATATGTCAAATTCATATTTTTGGCAAAGGTCAAATGGTCATAACTCAAGAACTATTCAACTCTGAGATGTAAGACTGGTGCCATTCAGTTTGTATCATAAGGATCCATAAGTGTAACAAATTTGAAAAAAATCTGTGTTGGTCATAGAATTTTTTGCCTAAAAAATCTGTTGATTTTAACATGGAATCACTCATTTAAAGTTAAATTTAAATATCAAACAGAGTGAAAGGTTTAAAATACAATACTTTATTAAAGGTTTAACTTTAATTTTGTCTTTTGTCACAGTTGCAATTGATATTGTCTATTTAAACTGTAATTAAGACTTAAGTGGGGTACGGTACATTACTCATATGTTTTTTTTTCCTATCATGTGTACTGTGACCTATTTGAAATATTACATATTTCAGGTTCTCTAATGTTTTTTAAGAGTGACTTTATGTGAAGGGACCATAAAAAATAATTTTATTATTTCTAAATTCTCATAACTTTCATATACATAGGATGCTGAAGGTAAAAGGCTGAAAGCCTAAAAACTCTCTGCAGGAGTTAGCCTAAAGTTCACCTGAAGGGCGGCTTCTAGCCTATTTCTGAATAAAATTGTCTTCCATGAGAGATTTCATTTTTTTTGTTTGTTTAAGAATATGAATATGTTGTTTTTAGTTTATAATGTTGTTAGTTAAATATTTTAGCAATTCAAATTCACTTCAATAAATATCCAAAAACTATAATTTAAAGCTATGAGTAATGGCTTAAATAAGAATTAATGTCTGTTGGTCAATGCAAGGTTAATAAAAACAAAAGTATCATTATTGATGTCTGTATATTTATTAAAAATAATCAAGTAGTTTAAGCACTATCTCATACATTGACTTTTTAGTTTTTCTTGTAAGAAACTTCATTTTGAAAATGCTTGTACTATATTGAAAAATAATTTATTTTTTAGGAAGAATTAGAAAAGAAAGCTGCTGAAATTGCTCAGAAGAATGAAGAAAAAAGAAAGGAACAGATAAGAGAACGATTAAAGTAAGTTTTTAGGTTTGCCAAATTAAATCTCGTGAATTATTGTATTTATCTATATTGAATCTGGTAAATGAAACTGAAGGTTGAACTATGAAATCTTTATGCAGAGGCTAAATTATTTGTTTTTTATCTCCCTATCATAATGAATTGTTTTATTAGTTATATATTTTTTAACTTTTTCTTTGTTAATCTATGTATTTTATAATTTTATTGTTGAATATAAAGTATTTTTATGACCCTATTTGAAGAGTAAATGTAGATTGTTAAAATATCCTTAAAATAAAATTGAGATGCAGTAAATGATTCTTCAAAATATTTTCATAAATAGTTTAACATGTTACAGAAACTTGTGTTAATTATGTCTTGTGAAGCTTCTTCAATATATGAAAAAGCTTTTTTATTTTTTTTTTATATAGGGTGCAGAAGAAATACCTCCCAAAAATGGTAAGAGAGCTAAATGAAGACATCATTGCCACTAATGTGAACTATTTTTTGGGAGGTATTTCTGCTGCATACTGTGCATATATATGCTTATATCAGACCTCGGTAAAAAATAAGCAACTTATTCATTAAGCTATGGTTAATATTTTTGATATTCTGACATGAAATTTTTTTCATTATTCTACAAATACTCATTGTTGTAATATTGTATATCATAGGAAGTAAGTATTCACACAAGCAGAATATGTCTAAGAGGCTATTTATAGTTTCTGCTATTCACATATATATAAATTAGACAGCTACTGCATCCATTTTAAAAAAATTCCCTCTTACATTTTTTATCACAATATTCTTCAGCCATTAAATTTAGAATTTGGAACAAAGAAGTAGCTTTAGATGAGACTTGAACTTACACTTTGTACTTTAAAAGCTCATCATGTCATGTGATAGTAACTTACCCTTAAAATTTCCAAAGTTTTTATGATAAAGTAGAGTTCTCTTATCACCCAATATTTCCATTGCTACTTTTTTCTTCCAAATATTCTCCATTATATCATAATCTTTTTTTAGATCCTGAGATGATTATACACATTTCATTATTACATAGTTTTGTTTTTGTAATGTTATTTATTGACCTTGCATTGTATTACTTTTTCTGATAGGAAAAGAAGAAAATTTGTTGATGTTTTGTTGGCACATTACCAGTTTCTTCTTTCATTAAACAATTCTTCTTTCCAAACAACACAAGTAAACCAAACAGCCATTTAGGTGATATTTTTATAAAAACATCACCTAGTTGGCTATTAATAATAAATTTGATTAAAATCTTAATTTGATGATTAAATTATATATATATATATATATATATATATATTTTCTTTTAAGAAAAGTTATTTCATCTTCATATACAAGATGGATTTGAAGAAGATATTAAAATTATTGCAATGGAATCTTTATTTTAATATAATTAATATTAATTTTTAAACTAGATTTTGGTACATAGTTTTCAAAATATTTGTCTTGTAAGTAATTTAAAAGTTTTATTTTATTTTTTTTATTAATAAGTTAAGCAAGGATTCTGTAGTTAACCTATCATTGACAAAGACACTAATTATGTTTTCTTTATAGATACAGCATGTCAAACATAACTGGCTATAAAAAAGCAATTCTAAGAAATAAGATAGCAGAATTATTAAATTTCATACTACATGACAAATATATTTGGTCTTCAATTCTTATCAGTTTTATTTCATTTTGTTGATTAATGGAGATTTTGTTCTATATTTCATAGATTAATGGAGAATTATAAAGAAACAGAATGGTCATCTTCATCTCAAGTTGAAAATGAACTGAAACAGCTTGAATCTTTACATCAAAAAGAGTTTGGAGATGACAGTTCAGAAGGTATCTCTTCCACCCCTTTCTTCTATTTGTGAAGTTGTATTCCATATATTTTTTCTTGGAAATTGTCCAGCAATTTTTAAGAATCTTATGAATCTTTTTATACATTTTAAGTTAAAATGCTTGCATTCATTTATTTTTCTATTCTTTTGTGTTCTATTTCAGTGGGTATTTTTTAAGTTTCTAAAACCACATACAAAATCAGCATTGAAAACAAAGCTTATTTCTTCATTTGGCTTTATTTTGTGCGCAGTAAAGGAGACATGGCCTGATGTGAAATTCATTATACTTTACTGATCCTATTGTTTAATTTGGATTTGAGAATTGGTGTTGGCTATTTATTTCATTCTTTTTGGAGGGGATTTTTTTTTTTTTTTTTTTTTTAATAGATGTTTCAAAGATAGATCCATTGAGACCATCACATTATTTATTTCATTTTTTTCTACCATTTAGTATCTTAGGCAACAAGTTAAAATTATGTGCATTGCTCATTGATTTTAAGTGACAATGGATGCTATTTTTATTTTTTTTCTAAAGAATGTACATATCTTTTCAATATTAGATGATATAAATATTTATTACAAAGTTATTTTGTATCTGATGCAAGCATAATTCTAAATGAAAATAAAATTATATAGATATGTATTCATACTCAGACATGATAAAATAGTATTTGGCTAGTAAATAATGATTAAGGTTTGTAAAGGAAAGTTTAGTATTACATTGCAAAATGTATATTATACAGAAGTTTAATAGAAATATAGCAATTTGTAACAAGATATCTATATCATTTTTAAAAGAAAGCTAATTTACACACATTTCTAAATAGTGAAATATCTATTTTTCCTCTAAAATGGATTTATGATCAGTGGCAATGTTCATGTTAGATGCATTGATTAATCTCAAAAACTGACAAAAGATTAATGAAAAATTATCAGAATATTATTTAAATTCATTATATATCTAAGAAAACTGATGACTCTTAAGCTAGAGATTAAATTTCTGTAATAGAATAATAAAAAAGGATGACTGAGTAAATAAACTAATTGGCAGAAAAAGCTAATGACCAATTAATCTGCAAATGCTGATATGACCAATTACTGATTATCTGTGTAATCCTATCCTAGTTCATGTTATTGTGATTTAAAATATTTTGAATGCTATTATGCTTTACATAGAACTTTTTTCATATAAAAAGTTCAGTTTTATAGAAGAAATTTTTATATAACCTATTATATTTGATAAATATAAATTATATTTGTTTATAAGGAATAATAATCTCTTGATTTTCTCTTACTGCTTTTAATTTTTAATTATTAACACACAAGAATTTATAATTTGAAATTTTTTCTTTTTCAATAATAGATTCCTTGGGACAGGAAGAAGACGAGGAAGACATATCTGACTTGTTTTGTGTAGCTTGTAATAAAGCTTTTAAGAGTGACAAAGCGTAAGTGAATTTTTAAAAGACTTCCAGTCATTCCTTACATGTAGCATACACACTCATTTCTCAATGACTTTAGTTCTAATTTTTCTATCCCTTTGATATCTTCAAAAAGAACCTAATAAACTTACCTGTCATAGTAAGGATAAATTAAATAGTTCAGGCTGTTGAAATTAGAAACAAACATAACATGTATACTATAACACCACAATTCATATTCATTAATGAATTGAGTTAGGGGATCATTAACTTTAATATTTTTCCAGTTTTTAAATAATTAGAATTTATTATTAAAAACATTAATAGGCAGTGGGCATATAAGAAGAATTTTAACAGTAACATGTTTTTCTTTGAGTAGTAACATTTAGTCTGCTATGTTCACATTAGCATTTTGATCATCACACTTCTTTATACAGCTTAAATAAATTTTTCCCAAAATATGGCATTTTGAAATGATCACCAGGCAGTGAATTATCAAAATGTCATTTAGCTCAGCAAATGAACTTAAAATGTCATTTAATTTTATATAATTTCAATAGAATGATAATTAAGTCTTGAAACTACAGTTTATGTAATGTATAAACTGTCATATTAAGACACGTTGGATTTAACGACTGTTTTCCTCTGCCCAGGTGGATGCAGGTTCAAATTCTGCTGGAGAGTGTATATTTTTCTTTAATAAGATTTCTCAAATATTCAAGCTGGTAGACAAAAATAATAAACAGAGCATCTACTTAAATGTGAGTATCCACTAAAAATAACGTCTAAAGTCATAAAAATCTGTCAGATTAAAAAATAAAAAATCCATTACTTCTTTAGAAAAATTATTTCAGATATATAAACATTATCATGGGTCTCAGGGAAGTTCTAACTTCAAAAGAAAAAGAAGATATTGATAATTATTGAATGAAATAGATATGGTGAAAAAGTTCAGCAGAGATTATAGAATAATCTAAAAAGAAATTAAATATTGGCAAGATAATAAAAAATAGCTTTACAAATATTACAAAAATAAACTTGAGAAAAATTAAAAGGGTAATAAGTAAGAAAATGTTTGGTAAAAGCTGGTGTAAACAGAGAAAATATGCAGAATATTAATATTGGCTAAAGTTATGAAAACAACAAACTACAACCTTTTAATCATCACAAAGAAATGTGGAAGTTGGGTGAACTACATGAAAATTTATTTCTCAACAATGATGAATATAGTTACATTAGATGAACTTGATAGCTCAGCTAGACATTGAGTCCTTCATAGAAAAAGTCAAGATTACAGTGAAATGGTAGAGCAATATTTGGGACTAGTATTGTAGATAATAAAATTATAGGTCTTTTCAAGATTGATGATGGTGTCAAGATGAATGCAGAAAATTATTCCAAGTTGTTAAATAAGATGCAAAAAATATGTTCCATTTTGTTTGCATAATAAAAACTGATATTCCTAAAACTGGTTATTATCAGTATTAGTGATTAAGATAGATATTATAAGCTGAAATTAGCACAATATAATGCTCATGTAAATATATGCTGGAAATTTTACCAATGTCATTTTATATGAAATCATTGATTTGCATAAGATTTCATATAATGTCAGTCTATGATTTCTTATTTTTTGTTTTTTCTTTGTTTTATATAAATGTATTAGAAAATCTGTCTCATAATGTAGATGATAATGAAAACTTTCAATTAAAAATTCTCCACTTTAGGTATAAAAATTATAAAGTCTTTTAGAATTGTATGATGAGTGATTAACTGGTTTTACTCAGTTAAATTTTTATTTTTAATATTACACTTTCATATTTACTTCTATATAGCTATATCTTTATCTTCTCTGGGTAGCTTATATGTATATATAATCAAAAAAATAAATGTATGTGCAAGTGTTTACATACATAAGTTCTTTTATACCAGATGATTGCATAGTGCATGAAACTCAGTTGTACTGTTGTCATAGGGTATTATTTATATATATGTGTATGTATGTATATATATATATATATATATATATATATATATATATATATATATATATATATATATATATATGCATGCATACATAATATGGTGGTTGCCAACTCATGTCTGAGTACACCCATTACTACATTTCTTTTTAGAGAATATCTACTGCTGGTGTGCTGAAGGAATATATATATATATATATATATATATATATATATATTAATGGGTGTATACATACACACATAAAATAAGGACTAAAATTAATCACTAATAATAATAATGACTATTAACAAATATTAAGGAAGAATAGTAATAATTTATCAATATGTGATTCATTGTAATTCAAAACATACTTTTTTTTTTTTTTTTTTTTTTTTTTTAAGGTTTGCTAATCATGAACGGTCCAAGAAACATAAAGAAAATGTTGCTTATTTGAAACAAGAAATGGAAAAAGAGGAAGAACTTCTGTCAAATATTGCTCATGAGAATAATGTTTCTGAAGAGAACGTCTGTGACTTTCAAATGGATGCTGAGAAGACAAATGCAAATATTGAAGAAGAACTGGACACAGAAGAAATAACATCAGACAGAAAACATAAGTAAGTGTTGTTACTATTATTTTCTCTTGTTTTTATTCATTATCATAGCATTTACAATATCATACCTTGACATGAACAAATGAAATTTCATTCTATTTTGATGTTTCTTTCATGGGTCACTTCATAAAGAATTGATCATTATATTAAAATAAGTGAATGATTCTTTATCCAATCTTGACTATAAGTAAATTGACTGTATTAAACAATTGTCTTCATCAGTAATCATCTGTTATGCATTATACATATTTATTATTCTTATAATCTTCATTAAAGTGTATCATGTCTCTTTATCATCAATAATATTGTTGATCATTATTTACTTTTATTTTGCATTTATTGTATATCTGATTTATTCCTTCTGTCGTTTGAAGTTTTATAACAGATTATATTTTTATTTTAAAATGTGCTAAAAGTAAAAATAACTTCAGTACTTTATAATGATTACTAATACAATCTTTGTACACACACACACATATATATGCAGATGTAATGAGAACGAGAATAATGTAAATTCTAACGTTCACAGCATTAATTCAAAAAAGGGCTCAATACCAAGAGTAGAGCAATAATTATATTATTATAGATTTTTACATGTAGACAAAAACAATTACCCACTACAAAGACACATTCTTGTTTCAATGCCTTATTGCATCTTGACAGGCATTGAAACAAGAATTCCCATCAGTCAAGATGCAATATGGCATTGAAACATCTTTGTAGTGGGTAATTGTTTTTGTCCCCATGTAAAAATATTTAATTATATATATATAATGTATGTGTGTGTTTATATTGTGATTGGATAGATAGATTTTTCTCTTTGTTTCCTTTGACCTAATGCTTTACAGTAAGATTATTGACAATAATCCAGTTCATATACTGATAGCATTTTTATTTGTTATGCAAACAAATAATGTACAATTAACTAGATTTTAGACATGTAATCTTTTATTTTTCATATGTAAAATCTACAATTCACAAATAGTCAAGATATTTGCTTAGAACAAGTTAAGTTTCAAAACTTTCTATTAAAGTCTCCTTTCTGTTTATGGAAATAAAAAAAATGAATAATGTAATTTTTTTTTCTTCTTTTGATATCAGCCACAAGGTCAGTTTGTACTTACCATTAAGATTCCATTCAATTTATGAGAACATAAACCAAAAATATATGCATCTTCAGTATTATATGAAAGACAATTTTGGCTGCTAAACATGTAGTCATTATTCAATTGCAAAGGAAAATGATTCTTGGTATAAGTTTAATCTGAATGTATTTAAGTTAACATAAGTATTTATCTCCACAATATTTTTTTCAATAAATCAAATTTAAGTTTTAAGAAAAAGACAAAAAAAGGCCTTTAGAAATTTATTTTTTTATTACTTTAAACATTATATTTATTTGATACATGTGTTTGAGTAGACATCCTTGTTTTATAAAGCGTGTAAATCTATCTACTGGCTTGTGCATCCAAGTCTTAATAAAGAAATTATGCCTTCTGACAGTTTAAACTCTTGCTGGGGGAACTACAGGTTTAGCCCAGCATGCTTTTAGAATGCTCAGCCACAGAAGAGTTTTACAGTTACTCTTACAAGGAGGAGGATGCAGGTTTCAAATCTGCCAGAAGGTAAATTTTCTTTATTAAGACTTGGATGTACAGGCTGATAGATGTAGATTTACATTCTTTAAAAAAAAGGAATGTCATGTGTATCCACCAAATATACTGTTTCAAGTAATAAGAAATAATATTGGATTATAAATGAAACCCTTTAATTCCTAAGAAATTTCTGATTGTATCTTTTTGTAAAATATGTTGTCATTACATAAAAGTAACAGTAAAAATTGAGTCATTAGTCTACCTAATAGAATTGATTTTTTTTTCTTGTGTATCTTATATTAGTATTTGAAAGGAAAAATAAGTAAAATATTTCTTTTCTGTATTCAAGTTTATCTCTTCATAGAAATTTTTTATAAAGAGAAAATCTCATTTTAATAATATTTGTGTATAATTTAAAATTATTTACATTATAGACTTTATATGGATTTATAACTATAATTTACATAAAATGTAAAAATCAAGGACCTAAATGTACACCAAATAAAAACAAGATAGGATATGACTTTTTTTTTCTTCTGGTTAAAATCAAAATGCAATTTTTAAATCAGTGAAAATATTTCATGATAAGTATCAAAATGGTGTTGTGTGTGACATGAATATTTTATCAAATATATTATGATAAATCATTTAAAAATGCCAAAAAGGTAAAATATTAAGAAATGAAATATGGAATATGTAAATTCTTAAAGATACAAAATGAAAGCAAACTTCAGGTATTTTTAGTATGGGAAAAAAACCCAAAAAGATAATACATTTAAAGAAACATTGCAAATCGTTAAGATTTCAGTGTTTTAATACTGAAGAAAGATTGGAATAAATCTTCAAAAATTCTTAATAATTTAGCATTAATCAAATTCCTTTAATCCAAGAAAGTTATCCAGTCATTTTCACCTGCTTTTAAAATGTTAAAAACTTACAAGATCTGGACTTTGATTTAAAACATTATTATTTATATGGAATAAGATTCTGTAATTCATTTAATTTCTGTAAATCAGTAAAAGATGAAATGAGTTCTGTCAGATTATGATAACAAAAATCCTTTAATATAAAACATTAGTCAAACCATACAATTTTATAATGAAAAATATGGAACAATCTATCCAGATTTATTTTATTTTTTTTAAGAAGATAATTAAAATAGCTTCATTTCCTGGTTATATATATATTTTTATATTTCATCAAGTGACGTGGAAGCAAAATCAAACTGTATCCTAGTTTGTGTTTGTACATAGTGTGTACATGCATTTCAAAAAGAAACTGCCAATAGTAGTTGATAAAATTTTCTTGTAGATGATACTTCATACATATTGTGTGTTAATATGTTGAACAAATATTTATAGATTAAAATTAAATTCTCTTAGTAAATATTAAAAAGAAATTGTAAATACTGAAAAAAAAGCAGTGATACTTAGAATATGAACATCCATTTATATTTTTTATATATAAATAGTATGGATTTTATTTTTATAAAGTTATACAGTTTTCAATTTCTAGTGAAGATACTTAACTTTATTTGGAATGTAAATCATATTTGTTTAAATGCACACCAAATTAACTACTTGTGTCAGCAAAACCTGTGAACATACAATATTCTACAATTTTGTGAGAGCAGATTGCATCAAATTTCTTTTTCTTTTTTTTTTAAATAAATATTATAATTATGTTGATTGCATCAGTCAACCTATTTGAATTAAATATCCTATGAGCTTCTTTCCATAAATTATGTAATTAATTTTTTTCTCTTCAAATTGACTATTCTATCATTTGGAACAATTTTTTCTTAAATACTGGAACTGCTCAGATACTTAAGTTTGTTATTATAAAAATTACTTTCTCCATCTCCTAATATGTAGTTCAAGTGAGAAACTGAACTGCTAGAATTTTTCATTTTTTTTTGCAAGGACCATTGCGATGTAATTGAGAAAATATCAATTTCTAAATATTTATTTATATTCTTTAAAATTCTTCTTATTCGTATCACTTGAATTTGTGTGTATGTGTGTGTTTTGCATAAACATTTTCTAAATCAAATATTGATATTCAGACACAGAGCAGAATGATAAAATTTACTGCTTCAACTAATATCACATTGATGAATGCTTGTATTCAATCTTTTAGATTAGCTGATTTTCATTTTTTTTTCCTTCAAAGAAAGAAATTCCACAGTTTATATATTTACCATTGTCAGTGTTTGTGACCAAATTGATTATAAAAACTCAAACTTATTACATTTGATAATGAAAGAAATTAAACCTTCTTTAAAAGTTTGAAGTTTCTTAAACATACCTTTTGATGCATGAGAATTTGTTCTTGTTAGATATGTATGTTTGGCATTCAAAAGATAGAATTGAGAGGGAAATGTAAAACTGAAAAAAAAAAACTTTCAAAAAATCTGTTCTGTTAATAATGAAAGAAAGGAGCATTCTTTCTCTCAGAACTGTCTTGTCGTGTAGCGTTTCTTTTTTCATCTGTAACCTCTCCACTGTCATTGGGGTAATATCCGTCTGTACCAAATACATCTTCTAGCTCATCAGAGTTACCACGGCCTGTCTTTTTTCTGCTACTTCTGTGATTATGATCAAGTCTGTTGTATCTATTATCTTGGAAGTGGTTAAAACCTGTGCCTGCATCATACATGTTTGTTGGTATGTTGTACCCTCTTTGATGGTTGTTATGTCTATTCAGACTAGGATCATAACTTCTCCTACCTGGATTCAAATTATAACCATCTCTGTTGTCATAATCAATGTGGTTTGGATTAAATCTGTCTCTTCCAATATCATAACCAGGTTGTGTATAATCAGACATGCCATAATTTAAATCATAGTCATTTTGGCCATAGTTCAAATCATAATCACTTCTGCCATAATTTAAATCATAGTCATTTTGACCATAGTTCATGTTATAGTCATTTTGGCCAAAGTTTGTGTTGTAGTTAAAACTACTTGGGTTTGTATCATGAACAAAGGGGTTGGATGCTGATACGAATGTTGATCGTCCCAGGTTCATATTGTACACTCTTCTCTCAAAATCAGAATCATCTCCTCTTCTATTTTCATTATACCTGTCTCTGTTTCTGTTGATATCTCTATGAATATTAAAACCCACATTTGCACCATGTCTATCCCTCCTTTGACTCATGTCATACTGAGGCCGTAGGTGAACTGATCGCCATGGACTTGCTGCCGCCTGTATCCGTTCTAGCAGAGTGGCACCATCTGGATTGGCCTGGTTAAGCCTCAAAAGATGTTTGTCAGTTTGGCTGACATAGTCAGTTTTTGAACTTCCAATATGGCTGCTGCCTTTATTTTCTGAAGACTCTCCAGAATCAGTCTGAGCACTGTTATCATTCTTTGTACGACTGTTGGTGTTGGGTTTCTGTCTTCC